TGAACATGCCTAGAAGAAGATTTGCTACTTTTTAGTCAGTGGCCGGTAGGTTATTACTACATTTTGGCAGGACTGGGTCGATCTTATTTTAGTCTAAACATAGATTTATGTCAATTGATCCCTTAATACTGCGCATAGTTTTGTATAACCTGTGATGTCAAAAAAGAGAAAAATGTAAGAAGTTCAAGTTTTTGCATAAATAAAAGATTTATTTTCATCTTGTGCAATGTAAATTATCATAATTGTTTGATTGACCCTAAAAATTTAAAAATAAAACAAAAATGTATAAATCAGGAAAGTTTCCATCCAGTCATTTTAAAATATAATTTACCAGACTGTTATTTTGATTAAATGAGGGGTTCTTGTAATGCATGATGAAATTGAAATACAACTATTACTAGTTAAAACAAAACAAAATACCTTTATATGTCGGCCAATGGAAAGCAATTTTAACTATTTCTTCTGTAAATAAGTGTAATAAATGTGATTTTGGTTTCCTTACTGAATGCAAAATGTTTAACCTAAATTTAAGATAGTTTGTGCCCATTTAAACCACATTTACGACACTTGTGATTATTAAACATCAGCAACGTCGGCTCCAGCGTGTTCTTTTATATCACATACGTCTTTCAATCTTTACTTTTGATTGAATCTTGCTATTCCTATTACAGTAATGTTTGTGATAATGTATTCTGTTAATCAATAAAAATCAATAATGATAAGTTTTGTCATTGTTATGTTGTAAACATAAATATATGTAGAAGTTTCTTGCATTTCTCTTAAAAGCCGTGACTGTGTCAACAAGACACAGTTTACGAGCAGGTAAAAACGTCCGACATGTTTTATCGTAAATCAGACATAAGTGAAATATGATAATTTTCATAGCACAAGATGAATATAAATCCTATATTCATAGAACAAAATCTTGAATTTTCTTACATTTTTTCTCTTTTTTTGGCATCACAGTTTGAAAGACTTGCCCTTAAAGATCCTGTTACTCATTTTGTTATGGTTTTATATCATAAATATAATGCTCAAAAGAAGATGTATCAATAATGTAAGCTCCAAAATGCATTATTTGTAAAAGATATACCCGAATTTACATTTCATGTTAATAAAGGGAGGTCATAAGAAATTTATTTTCTATGAAGTATAAGCCAAATTTTTCAATAAGAAATGAATGTGTATAATTTAATAATTACATATAATGCGTACAAATATTTGCAGTACATATTATTATATTCATCTGTTTTCGAATATTGGCTTAATTTAGCAGAAGTCCGGCAACACGCCAGTGAAGATATAGAAATAATGGTTCACTGCATTGAAATAATCAAAGCACAGAAGGCGCTGAATTTGTTTGGGTCTCAGAATGTCAGAAAAGTGAAGGTTGTGAGATTATAAACCAATATGTTTTTGTATAGTGCCACCAATGCTTTCCAGTATTTTAACTGCAGTAAATTGGCTATAAGACTAATTGCAACACTGATATTCAATTCAATGTTTATTTGACTTAAACAATTTAAAAAAAATGAGATTTGAACTCCAGACCTCTCGATTCCTAAGCGAGCGTGCAAGCCCCTCGGCCACGGTGTATTAATATGTTAATGGCCTGAAGAAAACCATATTATTCTAAATTAGAGTTTGTAACTCTTATTATTTCGACGCTAAACCTGTTGTTTAACACAGATGTAAAACTCATGGAGCTTACTATAAGCATGTGTATCCATAAAGAATAAAACAATATTAGAAATCTTCGACCATTCGGGAACTATTTTGCTTGAAAATTAATGCGCCCGTCATTTGACAATCTTTACGCAGTGCTCTCCCCTGAATTTTCGGCGTTAGTGTACATATAAAGGGAAGTAACCGCTACAAAAAAGCGGAATACTTTCGGCATTTGCAATTAACAGCAGCAGGGTCTGAAGTTCCGCTACCATTATTTGTTTGGTCTGACGACCCAAACAAATAAAAACGGAAATATGATTCACTGCAGAGAAAATCGGAAAATGAAAATACGAATTTTATTTCATCAATATTTCTCAATATTTTATTTTTAAGTATATAATAAAAATTTATTTCTCCTATATATCAGCAGTGTCAACCTTTATATCGAAGTGTTTTTGTTTGTTTTTTTTGTTTTTTTTTGTTACGAAAACAATATAATACATTTACATTACATGTACATACAAATGTAAGATGATTGATATGATAGCTTGGTGTTGACATCTTAATGGTCAAAGTTTAATAAATAGTTTCAAAGGAGTTTAAACGGTTTTCTGTCGTTCCCTTCTTCATCGTTTAAGCCTAAAATTTTCGGAATTTATGTACAAAAAATATTAAAAGGAAAACGATATGTTTTACTTAACACTTAGGCAATATCACAAATGAATGAAAAAGCATCTTACCATTTGTTGAAGAGGACACAAAACAGAAAAGTGCGATCCTTTCATTTCTTTATAACTTTACCGCATACATAATAAATCCTAATTGTCCTTTA